CCTCTAACAATTCCTTTTTTTCGAAATTTTTAAAAAAAATTTTTTTTAACACCTTCTCCGTTCAAGCCTTTTCCATTTTTCGGTTTAATTTTTTATCGCTCAGTATTTTGATTCATGCAGTTTTCTGAGTGTAAATTGACCAATAATGTTTACAAATAATTTCGAATTTTATGGTTGCTTGACCTCAACTTGAAAGTACTTTTGGACTGCGTAGAACCAGGATTTTTTTTTGCAGGGAAGTTGGAATGTATGATCGTGTGGTTGTTCAGGAAGTTATCAAGCAGATGGCACAAATGCATCAGATTGATGCATCTACGCAAAGGAATTTTAAAGGTTTTTTTTTTTCTTTTTAAAATAAATATTTGTTTTACTGTCTTTTATAATGCTGGTGGTTACTGCCGCCATTTGCTACCACTCGGGCTACTTCAGGTGTCCCCCTCTCTCAGTGACAGCGAAACACAGGGGATTTTGGCTTTGATTTTGATTAACAATTAGATGAGAAAAGGTAATTATTGAGGACAAAATTCAACCCTCAAGATTCATGATAAGCAGGGTGCTGTACAAAGGAGTTGGCAGGACTGTCGTTTGAAAAGAAATTTCCGCTCGCAAATGAGCGACTTTATTCCTTAGATATTTTCTGACAGGAAGCATGGCTAGAAAATGGATGTCTTTGATGGAAGAGCTTGGCCTGCAAGACGCTTCCCTGAAAATAAAAATCTGGCTGGCCAAGTTGTTTTCGATAAATTAGCTGTCTGTATGTTTTTTTTTTTTTTCAAACATTGTTAGCAGATTAGCGACTCGATTTGTTCATGCTGTTATTTTCTTTCGCTTTCTTCCATACTCCCGTAATTCTATTCCTATTCTGTTCTATTCTTGTCATGCTCATTTCAATCAGTCTTTTTCGAATGTGGCGAGTAGGTAGCTGTACTGACGATTCCCACTCCTTCTCGCATCCATTGCTCTTACAGCTGAGGGATGAGACACAGACTGCAAAAATTTACCAGTGCATTAGAATATGCGATTTTCAAAAAATCTTACAAATATAAATACATTCAATGGCTAAATGAGAACTGGTTCTTGATTTGATTTTCAGAAACAGACTGAATTACTGGGTTATTTTCCGAAGAGGGAATTGGTTCATGCGAGGAATTTTGTTTCTAAGATATTTCCTAATAGGAATTATGCCTAAAGATGTTATTTCTGATGGTATATTTGACACACGGGGGAAGAGGTGGGGATGAGGGAAAATATGAATAAACGTGTCAGCTTATATTATGGTTCGAATCGGTCATTACCGGGAAAATGGGAGGGCGGGGGGGAGGGGGAGGGTGGAAGGGAGAATGCATTCTTGAGAGGAACCAGAGGAGCTGGGTGCATTCTTGAGAGAAATTTGCCACGCTGAGGTGATCCGCTGTGGATTAATTCTCATCGGTTGCAAAATTCTGTGATTTTAGTATAATTCTACTAGTTTTTTCACCAATTTCAGTTGTTGTTTTAATGGAAGCAGATCAGTTGACGCGTGATGCGCAGAATGCACTGCGTCGCACCATGGAAAAATATGCACAAACATGCCGGCTTATTTTATGCTGCGAATCGATCAGTAAAATAATCGATCCGTTGCGAAGTCGATGCATGGCCGTGAGAGTTGCCGCACCTTCAGACAATGATGTATGTGTATTATTTTGCTTTTGGTTTTCCGTACTGAGGAAATAATTGAGTGTTTTCTGACTTTTTCGGGATATTTCATGCCAAATCCAGAACAATTACTTATTTTAGCGCAGTTATTCCACGACAAATCCTGGATTTTTCGCACCGTTTCTAGAGCAATCGTTTTTCTTTTCTTGATTTTTTCGTTTTTTTCTTTTTTTTTTGGATTCTGCCGTAGAAATTTGCACGTATGTAAGTTGTAATTTTTTCGGTTGATTAGAGATAGGTGGGGACTGCATCTCCGTAATTTTCAGAGAATTGTATATCAAAAAAAAGTTTTAGATTTAAACTGCTGTGGCTTTAAGGAATAATTTGGATTGATAAGCTTTGAG